CCGCCAGCCTCTGCTTCCGCAGCGCCTCCAGCTCGTCCTCCGCCATGGTGCGGCCGTCCGGGTCCAGCGGCTCTCGGCGTCCAGCAGCCGCGCCCACGCTCCGGCCCGCTCCGGGGGATCTCCCGCAGCCCCTCCGCGCGCGGCCCTCCCCACTGCGCAGGCGCCCGCAGCGCCCAGGCGTCACCAATCCAGCCCGGAGCGGCGCCGCCCGCCGCCCGCCGCCCGCCGCAGCCAGGGCGCCGACAGAGGCCCGATTCCGCGATCTGGGGCCGTGAGGCGTGGGCGGAGCCTTCCAGACCGCGGCCCATGGCCCCGCCCCATCCGGAGCTGGGCGCCCGGGCGCCCGGGAGCTGGCACCTACTACAGGGGTGGGGCAAGATAGTAATCTAGAAGGAGGTCGTCCACGGGTGTAATAGTAATAGGTAAAATTTGCTGGTGGACTGTTCCTTGCTAGGCTCATGTGTGTCCATTTACAGATGAGGCTGCTGCGGCTTAGGCTAAGTGGGGTGATGGAAATGTTCTAAAGCGGGATTGTGGTGACGGTTGCACAACTCTTACATTTGCTCAAAAATAGTAAATGCTACACGTAAAATGGGTTGGGGGTGCGGAGAAAGCAGAGACTCGCTGGTCACCAGACTATTAAGAAACCAAATTAAAGCACACTTGGAGGCTGACTCGGGCACAGACGGGCCTTTCCTCAGAGGCTGGAGCAGGGGCCGCGAGGTGTGGTGTAACCTCTTCCACCCCCACATCCCCCTATACCCGCTCCCCTTTGCCTTCCCCCCGCCACGCGGGCCTGTCCTGGAGGATGCTGGGGTGGGCAGCTGTGGCGCGCGCCTCGAGTGGGGACGTTGGGGTGGGGCAGGGGGTGGGCGGAGTGGGGTGGGGGGGTGATGCTCAGCTCCCTAAATCTTGTGACATGCAGATTATCCAGTTGTTGGTTTTTTGATTGTGCCAAAATATAAAATTTGCCATTTTAACCATTTTTAAGTGTACAGTTTAGTAAAAGTGTTAAATACGTTCACGTTGTGCAACTAATCTCTAGAACTCTTTTCATCTTGTAAAACTGAAACTCTATACCGATTAGATAACTCCCATCCCCTCTTCCCCCAGCCCTTGGAAACCACCATTCTACTTTCTGTCTATATGAATTTGCCTCTTCTGGGTATGTTACTGGATACATACCCAGGTTTTTTACCAACCACACAAGAGGGTCCAAATAAAAACTGGAACACCAGGCTTATGGCAAGGAAAGAGTTTTTATTTCGGGTGATGTCAGCAGGAAGATGAGAGCTCTCAAATTTGTCCCATCTCCCGGAAAGATGGGAGGCAAGGGGTTTTAAAGGTTGCGAGGGAGAGCATGTGCTGGGGTTTTAGGTAGGGGAGGGGGAGCACGTGGACGTGCTGGCTGGCACCTTCCCACCAGCTTGCGCTTGGCCTTGAAGACTGAATTTCTTTCCCTTGACTGTCTGGACTTTTCTGATTAGTTTTCATTTTCAGCCTGTGTTTGGCCTTGTGAGGCTGAAGCTTGATGTCTGGACCTTGACTTCCTGGGAAGGACAGCTCACTCATGTATTAAGGAGGGACAGAAAGACCTGGTTGGTTTTAAACAACAGTTGATTACACTGAATATGCACAGCTGCAGTTAGCAAAGCTTATCTCAGAGTTTTTGCTAACTTCTTCTAGCGGGGAAGGTTTTTTAACCTCTTTGTGCTTGGTTTCAGGTGCCCCCTATGAGTGAAATCATACAATATTTATCCTTTTGTGACTGGCTTATTTCACTTAGCATAATGTCTTCAAGGTTCATCCATGTTGTAGCGTGTGTCAGAATTCCCTTCCTTTTTAAGGCCGAATAATATTCCATTATATGTATATATCACATTTTGTTTATCCATTCATCTGTCAGTGGACACTTGGGTTGTTTCCACCTTTTGGCTATTGTGAATAATGCTGCCGTGGACATGGGTGTGCAATTGAGTTCTTGGCTATAGAGATTTTGTGTGTTTGGAATTTGATATTCTTAAACGTTAATGATACCTTTCCTCTAATATGTAGGCAGGCAAGATGTTGATGGGAGAGATTATAAAAATGATAGTCTGGAGTCTTCTATCTCAGAGTGTCACGGTGGAGACCCTTTGTGGGCCATATGTGAAATGGGTGATGTGATGGCTCAGGTGACTTCCACTCAGGAGGATGCAGACACCTGGGCTGGTGTCTGAGTGGCACTCGCCCATGAGGATGTGGGGAAACCAGAATCAGCAGACACAAGGGATTCTCACCCCATTCATTCCTTAAATTAAAATATGTTCCCAATGGATAAAATATTTAAAAGTTTAGAAAGTAAATCACAAAACTAAGATAAATTCTTTAGGTAGTTGTGTGACTATTTTAGGGCAGAAATGAAAGGACTCTTCATCAAACCATCTGGGTCTCTCAGACCCAGGTTGGGTCTGTCTTTTAAATATATTCTTTTGGGGTCATCCACCTGTTCGGGTTTCCTGTTTCTTCTCAAGATAATTTTAATTTCTGGAGAACCACTCATTTCATCCAGAGTTTCACATTTTAGAAATATGTGGCTACCACATCTGTATGTGTGGTTACTTCCCTTTTAGGGACTGTTGATTGTTTATTTGGGTTATTGTTTTTTCCTTGATTATAGTTTTCAGACATTTTAATATTTCACTGTTTTTCCCAAAGAGCTCAAATTTATCAGTAGTCTTTTATAATCGATTACTTTCTGCTTTTATCTTTATGTATTTCTGCCTCTTTTTCATATTTTCGTTGTCATTTTCTTTCCACTTCCTTCAGATGAATGTTCTATTTTTTTTTTCTTGTTTAATAATGAAAACATTTAAGGAATGAATTTGCTTGTGAGTACAATTTTGGTCACATCTCGTATATAGGGTTTTCAATGTTCTTGTTTTTTTCTCTTTCACAATGTCCTAAAACATTTTCCTGTTGTTTTGAGATAATGATAATTTCTTTAAACCTTGATGAAAATAATATATCTGTATGGTTAAAAGAAAGGTCAATGGTGTATGAGGAAAGACAGCTCTTCCTGGCTCACTCCTACCCCTCTCGGTTCCCCAGAGGTAGAAACTTTTGCCTCTAGCTTTTGCTTCCACCTTTTGGCTATTGTGATTAATGCTGCTGATATGGTGTATAAATATCTGTTCAGGTCCCTGCTCTCACTTCTTTTGTGTATATATCCAGATAAGGAATTGCTGGATTACATGGTAATGCTATGTTTAGTTTTTTGAGGAATTGCCATACAATTTTCCACAGTGGCTGTGCTATTTTACATTCCCACCAGCAATGCACAAGGGTTCCAATTTCTCTCCATCCTTGCCAACACTTGTTATTTTCTGTTTTTGGATCATAGCCATCCCACTGGATGTGAAGTTGTACCTCATTGTGGTTTTGATATGCATTTAAATTAGGTGTTGAACATCTTTTCATGTGCTGATTGACCATTTGTATATCTTCTTTAGAAATGTTTGTTCAAGTCCTTTGCCCATTTTAAAAATTGGATTGTTTCATTTTTGTTGTTGAATTGTAGGAGTTCTTTATATATTTATATATAAATATATGATTTGAGAATATTTTCTCCTATTCTGTGGGTTACCCTTTCACTCTGTTGTTAGTGTTCTTTGATGCACAAAAGTTTTTAATTTTAATGAAGTCCAATTATCTACTTTTTCTTTTGTTGCCTGTGCTTTTGATGTCATAATTGGGAAATCATTGCCAAGTCCAATGTCATGAAGCTTTCCCCCCAAGTTTTCTTCTGGAAGTTCTATACTTTTAGCTCTTATGTTTAGGTATTTGATCTATTTTGAGTTAATTTTTGTATATGGTGTAAAGTAAGTGTCCAACTTCGTTTTTTTTTTTTTATTGAGGTAACATTTATAACAGTGTATAAATTTCAGGTGTACATCATTATATTTCGACTTCTGTATAGCCTACATCGTGTTCACCACCAAAAGTGTAATTGCCACACATCACCATATAAATGTGCCCCTTTACCTCTTTTACCCTCTCTCCATCCCCTTTCCCCTCTGGTCACCACCAATCTATTCTCTCTATCTATGTGTTTGTTTGTTGT